GCACCCGGGTTCAAAGCATCGATCGTGGGCACTGATATTTTGACGGTAAATTGATATATTTATTATATCCTACACTACACTACTACTTCGAAGTATACTGTATACTATTAATAGTAACGTTACTACGTACACTTCGAAGTATGTGATATATTTCTAAAAATCGAATTCGATTGCATTATTCGTATTGTAAAATCATTTTCGAAAATATGATCGATGATAGATACTAGTACTACAGTATTTAAGTTTTTGATCTAACATTATGCAAACGACCTTGATAGCAGTCGCGTGGTAGCGGGCCTTGGTGATGAAGGGATCGGGGAACCCAAGAAGACGTGCGAGTTCGGGGATATCGGTCTTACCGAAACGGAACATGAATCGGCAGTCCGCTTCGGTCTGGGAGTTGAAGTTGAACCGTCCAGCAGGGATGGTGATGGCTCGTGTGGAGTTCATGTACTCCACTAGCTCAGCTACCAGTGGCAACACTGGTAGGACGTGTTCCATGAAGAGTATGATGCAAAGTGTGAAAATTTGTGACAGCAAAAGCTCGTGACCAATGAAAAAACCCAATTAAATTTACTTGTAAACTGTAAGGGGAAAATCATGTGGATTCTGGGTGCAAAATCACTCTATTGAATAAAACAAATAGATACTTCAGCACTTTATATAAAAAGATGGTTGAAATACAATGAATGAGAAATGGAAATGAAATTCATTTTATTGTCGATTCGGTACAAATTTCCCGACCCCCCGTCGAATCGAATCACGAATCGACGCTATTGGCTAATCCATTTTTTAGTGGATTTGATTGGCTCGTACAGAAAGGTCAAGTCGATTCAACCAATCAGAACTCGAACGTGATTCAATACTGATTGGACAAACCACGCGAATTTTGGAAGTTGATAGCGAATTCACAATACATCCACTTCAATTTTGTAGCCGCCAGACCTGGAGCGGGTGTTTTCGCTGCCCAAAGGCAACATCTTCCACGGAGCGATGGGCCTGGACCAACTCTTTTGGCTCCGACCTCGGGGCGGGTACACTGACTACCGCACCCCTGTCCGAGGGCTTTACTTGTGCTCAGCTGGAACCCATCCGGGCGGTGGGGTCATGGGGGCGAGTGGGCGCAACGCGGCACTTGTTGCATTGAACGAGTCCGTCTAGCTAACCATAAAGACAAAACGATTTCGTTTTTATGTGCACCTTTGGTGTTGTATGGTTGCAAGTACATATGCAGAGGTTTGTTCTGTGATTGGTGCTTTTCAAGTTTGGGGCTCAGTGATTGGCTTAGTTTTATACGTCACTCATTCCATTCGCCATTCATTGGCACTTTAGATCACTTGCAAGTATATTGTTGCGAGCGACCTCATGGGTATCACAAAACACGAAGTGAAGCTCATCTCAGCGCTGATTGAGACGATGGGAAGTAATTACCAGCTCACAAACCTATTCTATGGTGGCAAACTCGTCCACCAGTCCGCTATCGATGTAAAATCTAGCAGTGCACAAGTACTCCAGCGGTAAGGTTCTTTACAGTGAATGCTCACGCTGCGATGTTCATGGAGTGTTTTACTGTACTTTGGTGTCCGTTGGCGAGCAAGGGCCGAGGTAAGTATGCCTTAATGAATGGCTTGTGTTGCGCAAATCAAAGTAACCGAGGTATTTCCTCCACGTAATGCAGTGCACTAGTACGTTTACAGATCCGTACTGTAGCCCCCTCGGAGCAAACAGTACTGTATGTATTATTAAACCAAGATACTTTACTTGGTCGTTGTATTGAAATGGGGGAGACATCCGCCAATAAAAACTAAGCGGCTTCTATTTTTAACCAACCAGATAGTTGTCGGATATATTTGCGCAGCGGCCACTTTATCTATACATATGTACAGGCATAGTCTGCCTCGAAAACAAATGCGTATCGAGTTTGTCCTTGCCGACATTGCGAGTTCAATAATATCCAGCCTTGTTGAGGTGGCGGCAATATCCTTGCTTTGGCTGTATGTACTTGTGCTTAGCCGCGACTGGATGGGTCGTGTGGTAAGACGAAGGCACTCCCTATATTATAGCCAACATCGCTGCAACTTATTTTGGTTGGCAAGTACTATTTTGGTTGGCAAGTACTAGCTAGTATTGTAACCGGTTAGTGACCGTTTCATGAAGCGTTTCACACCTTTCATCCGAAGTTCGAAGTTCCACCAATCAAATATTGACATTGCTTGTTCAAATCTATCAGTTCAAATACTGCAGTACTACTATGCTTTTGTCCTACAGTATACTACTACGTAGTACTACGTAGTACTACTTTTGAATACTGCGTAGTCCGAGTGAGGTTCTTTAGGTGCATGAAGGGTGAAGTCAATGAGGAATAATGGGTCAAGCTGTATAAAAGTAACGACGTGGATTGGAGGATTCCGAGCCACATTCCTGTATCGCTTGGACAAGTACTGTCGAAAACTTGATCTCATACTGTAATGGAAATTTCGAAATGAGAACGCAAATATTCAAGCTACTAATAGTATCGCTAAGGTCGTCCAGTACTGTACTGTACAGGCCGCATTGTTCATGAGAACCAGTAAATACCTAAACAGGCACAGCGAGAATCGCGTTCGCGACTACAGCACGCTCAGCGGTTAACAGCAAGCTTTTTTCAAGGGATTTTTTGGGCTGAGTTTTGATAAGTAATCTAGAAATGTGGACATTGTATGAAATCAACCGACTACTGTACGAACTTCGAGTAACTTACAGTAGGCAGTAGCGGCGTCGCATGGTCCATTTGTCGACGTGATCCTACACATACACTAATGTACGTACTGGTTTACTTGTGTAATGTATTTAGTACATCAATGTACAATGTACAGTACGTACGTAATCGTACGCTGACTTGATGGGCGAGATTGAGGAAATCAATGTGTGATGGTTCCATTGATTCGAAAATCGTTTGAAACGCGACAGTTAGCCGCCGAGTATACAAATATCAAATGACTTTCGCAGTCGACGTAAATATAAAAAAATTGGAGGGGCCGAGTTGAAGATATCCCACATCTGAATCCGACACGCCACCGGCGATCCATGGAAGTTGATGCGCGGATCTGGATCGAAGACGACGAAGCTATATGGCTATCAGGCGTGATCGAAGAGTGTCTCGATGGGGACTTTGTGCGTGCGCGGTTGGACGACGGCTCCGTCATCACACGTCCGTCCAGTACGTCGCAGCCAACGAGTCATGTCACGGTGGGATGTGATGTTCATGTCATCATGTAGGCGGCGTCGTGGACGGGAAACTCGAGCAGATCATTCATTTGCGGAACGACCAAGACGACTTTACGACCGTGCCAGACCTGATCTCGCTCCAGTACCTCCATGAACCGGAGCTTCTGTATGCCGTGTGCGACCGCTATGCCCACGACCTCATCTACACGTACATTGGGGAGATCCTTCTATCGTTCAACCCGTTCCAACGCCTCGACATGTATTCCCACAAGTACTTTCAGACGTATGCCGCGTCCTCGGCCCAAGACATGAGTCTGCCCCCGCACGTGTTTGCGATCGCCGCGAACGCATTCAAAAGCCTGTGCGACGACAAGATGAACCAAAGTATCCTCGTAAGCGGCGAGTCCGGCGCCGGGAAGACCGAGAACACCAAGTTCCTCATGCAGTACCTCACGCAAGTCGGTGCCATGGGCGTCCCATCATCATCCCCCACCAAGCCGAGCGTTGTAAAGCGGGGTGGTGGGCGCGGCAAAAAACCTACCGCAGTACATGCTCCCCCCGGACAAATCCAGACCCAAATCCTGCAGACCAACCCGATCCTGGAAGCATTTGGGAACGCGCGCACCGTTCGAAACGACAACTCGAGTCGCTTTGGCAAGTTCATCGAGCTCCAATTCGGCCGGCACCACACGATTGTCGGCGCCAAGTTGAGCGTGTACCTGCTCGAGAAGATCCGCGTGAGCCACCAGTCGGACAACGAGCGCAACTTTCACATCTTTTACGAACTGTGCGCCGGCGCCGACGACGACCTGGCGGCGCACCTGTCGTTGCTGGATGCCGAGGACTTCGACTTGCTGAATGAAAGCGGGTGCTTTACAAGGCGGGACGGCGTCGACGATGCCGCGCAGTTCCACGAAACATCGCAGGCGTTCACAGACATGGGCATCTTGGCGGACGAACAGCGGAGCATCTACGGCATCGTAGCGGCTTTGCTGCATCTGGGCAACGTCGCGCTGGACGGCGAGACGTGCGGCGCGTCCAATATGGAGCACGCGAGCATCCGCCCCGACAGTTTGCATCATCTGGACACGGCGGCGGCGCTGCTGGGGGTGTCGTCGGTGGAGCTCACGTGCGCGCTCGTGACTCGGCATGTGACGACGACCAAGGACAAGATCATGGTCAAGCTGTCGAGTGGCCAAGCGACCGAAGCCAAGCAGTCGCTTACGCAGAGTTTGTTTGGCGGGCTGTTTGAGTGGATCGTGGCGCGGCTGAGCAGTGTGATCCGACACGACGCCGAGTCTGCCAATTCGATTGGCATTTTGGATATATTTGGGTTTGAAAACCTCGTCATGAATGGGTTTGAGCAGCTGTGCATCAACTACGCCAACGAACGGCTGCAAGCGCAGTTCAACGACCTTGTGTTTGCCAAGGAACAGCGCATGTACCAAGCTGAGGGCATCGAGTGGAAGTACATTGAGTACCCCGACAACGCGCCGTGTCTGCGCCTCCTTGAAGACAAGCCCACGGGCATATGGAGCCTATTAGATGAAGAAGGCATGCTGCCCAAGGGGTCGAACGAAGGCTGGATTGCCAAACTGTACAGCCAGTACCTAGACGAAGCAGCAACTACTCTGATGATCGCCGACGACAAGCAGCCGCCGCTCAGTCGACGCCAGTCATGCCCCGAACAACGCAAAGTACCAGCGGCGGGCAAGTTGCCGCTGTTTGCATCGAGTTCACAACGGGCCGAGTGTCAGTTTGTGATTGGCCACTTTGCCGGCCGCGTGGTGTATGACAAGGACATGTACGTGCAGAAGAACCAGGACGCACTGCCGGTGGAAGCGCTCGAGCTGTGCAGATCGTCGTCGAACGCGATCGTACAGGGGTTGCTCTTGCCGCCATCTCAATCTCAACTCAAACAAGGGGGGCGAACCCGAAAATCCCCCCCCACTAGACAAGCAAGCAGTCTTCGGTCGGCTAGTGTGTCGAGCCAGTTCAAAGGCCAATTAGATGACTTGCTCCAAGTCGTGGGCCGTACCCAAGCTAGATACATTCGCTGTATCAAACCGAATGACGTGAGTACCCCCCGCACAGTCAACAAGGCGCGAGTGGTGCAGCAGCTGCGGTCCGGCGGGGTGCTGGAGGCCGTGCGCATCGCCCGCGCCGGGTACGCCGTCCGCATGGAGCACAGCAGCTTCATGGACGCGTTCGGGTTGTTTATGCGAACATCATCATCGACGAAGAAGAAGAACAAGAAACCAGAAGAGCTCAAGGGCATGTGCGAGCAGACGGTGGCCGCCATCATGCTGCAGTTGTACGCATCATCGGATGATGGCAAAGGCATCGTGGACATCGCCACGGCGGTCGTGAAGGGCCGCCAGTCCACCAAGATGGGCCGACGCGCATTCCAAGATGCATGTGGAGCGGTGAGGTTCCAGCTCGGTAACTCCAAGGTGTTCTTTCGCAAAGACGTGTACAACGACGTCCGGCGGTTCAGACGGCACATCCGGACCAAATATGCGACACTGTTGCAGCAATACGGGCGCGGGTTTGTCGCCCGACGACACGCCAAGGCCCGACGCGAAGCGGTCGCCGTGTTGCAGACAAAGGTGCGGGCGTGGCTAGCGTACCGATCAGCGGTGCGGACGCTGCAGACGTGGACTCGCAGGTGCTTGGCTGTGACACGGTACAGACGACTACGAGCCGCTACGGACGTGTTGCAAAAGTGGGGCCGGCATGTACTGTGGACAGCGCGACTGTATCGCAGAGTGCAAACGAGGATGAGTCACCACAAGCACGTATTGATCGCCAATAGTAACAGCAGCAGTCCTCCCCCCTCAACGCCACAACCCCATCATAAAGCCGAGCCTTTGATCACAAAAGATGAAATGGCTGACGTGGCAGCGCTGACCCGTCAGAACCAACTGCTCCAGCAAGAGCTCGACTTGCTCCGAATCCAACAGTCAAATGCCGCCATTGCTTCTGCCACCCCCATGCAAGTCCATGGACAGGTACCAGTCCCCCCGTCGCCCGCCGCGGCTTTTGCTCAAGCGTCGCACAATCGACAAACGTGGGAGCTGCCACAGGGAGTTGCCACGTCATTCTACCAGCAGCAACAACATCCTTCTTGTCCTCCAGTCGTGGTAGTGCCGGCAGGGTTGGTGACCGAACTCGAGTTTGCCCACCACGAGATCGTAACGTTGTCGCAGCAATTGCTTGTGACACAGATCAAATACTCCAACATGCTCATGGATTACAATGAACATTTGGGGGGGTACGACGCAGATAAGCCGATGGACGACGCGTTTGCGATGGTCGAAGCGCTCGACATTCCATGTCCTACCTCGCTCGAGTGTGCCCAGGAACAGCTACGGGCGTTGCTGCGAAAGTTGCACGTGGCCAAGGAGAAACTCAAGCATTTGGAAACCAACATGGGCCACCATCATCGACAGACGAGCCATCATGGGGACGCGGGAATGTTGGTTGGATCTGCGATGATGTTCAGTGCTAGTTCGAAACCTCATCGCGGGGATTCCATCGACGCCGTCGAGTTTGTGCCGCGGCGGTCGTCGGAAATCTGGCGGCCGTACTTTGATGACAACTATAACAACGTTCCAGGGACTACTAGTGGTCGACTGCCGCCGATCCACGACTTGAACGACTGCTGCATGATGCCGAATCATTCGGTCGAGTACATGCAAAAGGTGGACGAGTTGCAGCGCCAGTTGGACATGCTTCGGGGGGTCATGCACAAAGCCATGGTGCCGGCGCGTGTGCCTCAGACCGCAAGCACAGTGTCGTCGTCGTCCAGGTCGTCGATCGGGTCATTGGCGGACGAACTTCGTCACAGGGGGGCGGCGCCGGGTGGTGGGTACAATGCAACTCGGCTGACGTACTATGTAAAAGATGTGACAACGTGGGCCCGCGATTACAAGTGCTTTGAGTGCAAAGCCGAGTTTGGGCTGTTTACGAGGCGCCACCACTGCCGCCTCTGCAGCCAGTCGTTCTGCCACGAGCATTCGAACCGACGAGCGCGGCTTGTGGGCGTCGGCAGCGAAGACGAGGACGAACCCGTCCTGGTGTGCGATGTGTGCTTTGTCGATATTTGCAATGAGACGCGGCGACAAGAACAGAACATGCGACAGAGATATATGGGCGGCGGCGGCGGCGGCTACCCTCTCGACTAATAATATGTACCGAACGACCGGATCCAGCAGAGTAGAAAGTAATAGTTTAACAGTAAGTAGATCGATAAAACGGATCAGTTAGATATT